ATGCTGCGACTCGTATAGTCACTTTGAGGTTGCTCGACAAACCTGCCGGTATTCAACGACTGTTCGACAGACTCGCCCTCGAAAGTGTCATCTATCAGCAGTTCCTGCTCTCAACAGGTCTATGGTCAGAAAGCAGCCAATCCGACTTTGTGTTCGACCCGGATTTCTGGGATAGTGTTGAGAAGCTCCTCGACAGGTCCTCACTCTTATCAGGTGCGCCTTGGAATGTTGAAAGCCCTGTTTTAGGGGTGCCGTTGTCTTTTTTCCGCACAGCCATAATCTTACGAGAATGCTACCGTTCGGGTGTCAGTTTGGATCCCGCGGTTTTCAGCCAGATACAACAAGAGGTACAATGCTGGGAGGCACAACTCTGCGATCCGCACTCGGAATCCATTTACACTTCCACCGATACAGTTAGAAAGATACCCAGCTCGAAAATCAGAGACGAAACATATTTATATGCTTTAGTTGCTTCTCTTCTGCTGGAAGAGATTAGTGAGAATGGGAGTAGAGGGACTATGCCATCGGTGGTATCCAGGGATAAGTGGCAGATAAAAATGTTCCTACGAATTCTCAAGAGTCACCAAGGTAGTCGAGAATGGGCGAGATCATATGCGGGTAATTGGCCAGCGTATACCTTGGGAGTATTTCTTTCTTCACCTGAAGATAGGCTGGTGGTGAAAGAAGACCTTGAGGCTTCGTGGGAGGTCACGAGGATGACCTATGCCCTGAGATATTGCCGTGATCTAGATATCATTTGGAAGTCGAGATACTAATAGGTGGTGAATATCCTGGAGACATATTTATGTGGACCTTCATGAATCACCGGTGAGCCCCAAGTACATAATCCCAATATGCGCTTCTTCATAATAAGAGAAAATAATTCAAGCGCTTCTATATCTCCACTTTTACTTTTATCTAAATAATGACCTGGTGAGTGGCAGGCTTCTCATCCTCATGGCCGAAGATGTTGACGTCCCAGCGAGGCTTGTCTGTTAAGAGATGGTCAGCACTGAACTTGGTGACCACTATTGGGGTTGAACTTACTAGCGACGTAAGGAACGTTGTACCGGCGCTGCTCCTTGCCGACCTGCTCGATCTCGCGGATATCGTCCTCGGACAAGTCGATCTCCTGGAAGTTCTCGGCGATGCGCTTGGGTGTAACAGACTTGGGGATGACACTGTGGCCACCAACCTGGGCCCAGGCGAGACTGTAATCTTGTTAGTCATGTAAAGAAGTGCAGCATAGAGATGATGATCACTTACAGGACTTGAGTGGGTGAGACGGGTTGACCCTTCTCCTTGGTCAATCGCTCGGCGACGGCCTTGATCTCGGGGTAGGTGAAGAGGAGGGGAGCGTTGACCATGTTGTTACCGAAAGCCTTCGTATGAATTAGCGTCGAATTCTCGATTTGTTTAGCTGCAATAACTTACAGAGTATGCGGTAACGTGGATGTTCTTCTCCTTGCAGTAGTCAATGAGATCCTTCTGGATCAGGAGAGGGTGGCGCTCAATCTGGTTGACAGCAGGGACAACTCCAGTGCCCTTGATGATAGCCTCGAGCTTCAGGTCGCGTTAGCTTCTTTGTATCAGCGTAACATAGGGAAACTACATACGTGCTCCTTGGTATGGTTGGAGACACCGACGGCGCGGGCCTTGGACTTGGGTAGCTCGGTGACGGCTGTACAGAGAGAGATTAGCCGCATGCATCAAAAGCCTAAATTAGATATGTTGAACTCACCCTTCCATGTGTCGACGATGGAGATGCTGTCATCGATGACGACGTCACCATCGGGCTGGTTTCCTCCGGTGAGAGGGAACAGATCCTGACCAATAGGAGCTCCAGAGTTCTTGAAAGAAACGGGGAAGTGGATGAGGTAGAGATCAAGGTACTCAAGACCGAGCTCTTGCAGGCAATCATCCAGAGCAGCCTCGACCTGCTTAGGGTCGTGTTGCGAGTTCCAGAGCTTGGAGGTGATGAAGACATCCTCTCGCTTGAGGCCAGGGATCTCAGCAAAGGACTTCTTCAAGGCCTCGGCGATCTCGGGCTGGTTACCGTAGACCTTGGCGAGATCCAGGTGTCGGTATCCAACCTTGAGGGCCTCGTAGACACCCTGACCGACCTCACCGGGGGAGGCTTGCCATGTGCCGTATCCCAAGAGACTTAAAAACAATTAGCTCATCCTTCTAGGCGTGTTTTGGGTGTTTACTTACGGGATCTTGGCGCCGGTGCTGAGGGTGAAAGTCTTGCCTTGAGACATTGTGAAATCGAGTGATTTTAAAGGGTATCTGAGTTGGAAGAATGAGAAAAGAAAGGCGGGAGAGTATTTATGTTTGAGGAGACAGGAATATTTTACCTACAGCACATCAACCCCGCTATCTGGGCATGTATGACTGATGGATCTGTGAAAGGGCGCTAGAGCGCGCTACTCGAAGCGCTCCAATCTTGGCTCTTTATGGCCGCCTCAAAGCAAGATCACGAGCGAGCTCCCCGCAGTGGAACTCGAGTCAATATCCGCCTCATTCATCTTCACAGCCCCAAGATTCGAAACTGTCAACCGGTCCAATCAGATACTCGTGTAACGGATAGACCTGGAGCCTCTCTGTAATTTGCCCGGCTGATGAAAGTCACCCGCGTTGGTGATTGATCGCAGCTCAGTATCTAAGATCCAACTTGCCCAAATCCAAGTAATAAAGCGCATTGGCAATCCAGCAACCAACATAAGGTCCCAGGCGCTACAGAGGAGAAGTTTGAAGCGCATTGGCTTCTTATCAAGACGTATGACGTCGCCTTACGGCATGAGAAGGGATTCTGATACTAGTCATTGTATACCAAATTTGCGAATTATATGTCCAGAAATTGGCCCCCATCCTCTTTTTTTCCCCGTCTAACATTTATTCGGCAGCTCTGTTGGTGCGCAACTATAATGACGCACTCTGGATTGGCTGCAGTCCCCGAAAATCGACTAGATCCACCTGATTAGCTGGCGATATGATGATAACGATAACTTTTTAAGAAAAAGAAATGGCCAGCAAAAGAGAGACAGCCAGATATATTGATGGCAATAATACACTTTTCTCGCGCTCTCTCTCTTTTTTTTTTTTTTTTTTTTTGCGCCCTAATTGCGTTTCATCTCTAAGTCTAGTATTCAATTTCTGTTCCAAGTAGCTTCCTGAAATGGTGATGGATTATATGTCTCACCGTCGTCTACATACGCGCAAAACACTGAGTCTGTAGACTAAGATACGCGGCAATAACTTCAATCGTGCGATTTTGTAGACCAGCGTTTGGTGATTTGCGAACTGAATTGGCAGTATACTCAATTTGAAGACCTGCCTATTCGGTGTACTCAACCATGACCTTTACTTTTCTTCCCGGTCTTTGGGGACATGCGCTCGTACTTCGATCTCGACTCGCATATCGTCCAGAGCCAAGCGAGGGACCCCCAAGGCTGTCCAAGTCGGCTGATGATTCGGACAATACTTCTTGAGGCAGCGGACCATTGTCTCGATTGCCTCGTTGTTGCAGGGCAAGTGATGTGACCTTAAAAAGAATACGTCCTCCCAACCGCGACTACCTGCTGCCTTCAAAGCACACTCCACGTTGTCGAATGCTTTCTCAATTTGTATCACAACATTCGGGTCGATCTTTTCCGTCTCTCGGTCCCAGCCACCTGATAGCAGTTCAGCAACACAACTTTCATCTCTAGGAGTCAATCATACCTTGCCCAGAGCATTCAATGATGTCTCCGACGCGGACGGCTTGGCTGTACCATAGGTCCTTCTTGGCGCGCTCGCCATAGCCTTCGTAGGCAGTGTAGGTAAGGTGAGACATAATTGCAATAACGTGTTTTATTGAGCTTTGTACGCTGCTGAATTGGAAGAAGAAAAAGAAGAAATTTGTTTGATCATGAAATAGAGATGAGTGAGTCAGTCAGTTACATCACGGAACATAATGCCGAGGTGGAGGATGACAAATACGGTTGAGTGGGTAACATTGGTAGACTACCTATATTCGGGCTAGTCAAATGGCTCTAATGGAGCTTGAAGCTTAGGGATGCCTGGTAGTCTTGAGCAAGCAGGATAAACTGATCTAAACGCACGCCTGTTAAGATACAATAAACTTGCTAAAGTCTTTTTGTGACATAGGATCGGGGCCCCAAGCTTTCACAAATTGTCTTGAATCCCAGCTTCCTCGATAACTGGGCTATTCAGATGGGTGGAGCCCGGAGGTTGGTGGTCTACTATTTGAGACTCGGCGACGGCGTGAGGCCAATGTCAGCCAGTGGTGGCATCCATTCGGGACACCTTTACCGTTCTCGCCTCGTGAGTGAGAAGTTCTTTGACCTTTTAGTACTTTGCGAGTTGAGGTCTCTGATCCCTATCGGCGAGCTTGGTCACTGACTTGATATACAGGCATAGTTTCATTGGTAAGCTGGGTTTCGAAGAGCTCGCAGTTAGACTGGTAACTCTCAGTCACTCAAAGCGAAAAGGGACTGCATTTCTTGGCGGTTAACCTTGGCTTCAAGCCGACACTTCGAAACATGCTGCGAGTCGGAGTGCACTATAAAGTCCTCGCTCTATTGAACGATACCAGAACTACAGCAATCTACAATCTGTCCGTTGTAAGTATGCTCAGGTCTAGCTTTGCGGCCAACAAGTCGTCTTCGTTGAAGTCGGACAACAGGTTGGACGACCTTCATAGAATAAGGTATTGCCTATCGGATATAGCATCGTCCTCAAGAATAGGGTGTTGCATCACGCAAAATAATAACACTGGGGGTATCCATAGTTTTCTGCTTTGTGATACGTTTGAGAGTTTAATACTATAGGAAGGTATGCACAGTAGGTCCATTCTTATCCAAAACCCCCAATAACCAACAGAAACTATCAAGAAAATCCTTTAGACATCTTTGCCAACTCGACCTGTTACTTAATACTGCCAGTCCATCCTCCAGGTGGACATAAATCTACAGGGCTTTTGGTACTCTGGAAAGAGCTCAAGGAAGCCCAGGAATTTCAGGGGTACCAACTCCAGGAAGGCCACCGGGAAGAGGAGTGGGCAGGGGAACAGGGAGCCCAGTGGGAAGAGCAGTTGGTAGACCAGAAGGAAGGCCGCCAGGGACACCTGGAATACATTTTTGGACCCCAGCCACGAGTTCGGCGAGACTATAATCTATCAGCTGACCATTTGTGATAGAGAATAAACAGGGGCATCAGGCTTACCAGGTTGCGACATCAGTAAGAGCGGCGGCACCGGTGGGGTTGAGGTTCTTGATACAGTCGGCGACGCTGGTGATACTCTCAAGACAGGCAGGATCGATAGAAGAAACCGGGAGCTTGGGCGTAGCAGCTCCAAGAGCTAGGGCAGGAAAAACGAGCATGGTAGAGACCTTCATGGTGATGATTTGATAATGTCCTTGAGATTGAAGTGTTTGTGTTGCAAAGTGTTGATTATGTGTGCTGTTGATAGGGTTGATGGGAAGGGAAGGGAAGATACAGGTTCTTTATAGTTGCCAACGGACACTGGAATTGCCTCAGAAGTGGAGTTCAGCTATCATTGTCCATTCTCCATGATGCTTTCATACGTGAGTCTTGGAAGGAGGTAATGCGGTTCCTCCCGGGCTCGTCAAATGTGGAGTTGAAATCATATCGCATGATAGATGCGTTGCTTTCCATCCCCGTATTGGTATAGCTGGCCGTAAATTTGGGTATCTATGTAGTAGGATTAAGGTTTCCTTGGTGCGCTGGGTTCAGAACTTGATCTTCTGGTATGTGACTGTTCAACTTGGTAACTCGGATGATTATCGTTTTTCTCTTAACCTTCTGGCTACTGTCTATGTCATGGCCTCCTGACAGAACGAAGACAACACCGGTAGTTGGCCACATATAACATTAATTCTGGTGGGGCCAAGGTATCAGTGCCGAATCCATTTGCCTGATTTACTCACAGCGATCATCTATCTCCTGTACTTCTCTAGGTGAGTGAGAGATAGTTCATCAGTGTCGATTTGGGGCCGTATTACTCATTTGAAGTTTTACAACCTTCTAGTTATGTCTTTAGTTCGCCTTCCAAAAATGAAGGATCATTCACCAGAATGCAGGCGATAGCTGAAATAGTGCTCAGATGAGAGAGCTCTGGATGAATCGAATACTACAAGGGAAGATCAAAAATTAGCGTGGCATTTTGATTCTGAGACACCAAGAACCAGTCGCTGCTGAGACACCAGAACTAGTCAATTGACGTGGCAGTATATGAGACAACAACTGCCGACGCATATGCGATATGCAGAGAGTCATTGATGCCTGAATCATAAGGACCCACGGTGAGCTGATCATACTCGTGAATGCCAAAATCTTTCGCTACGCAGCTGAATGCTCGCCGATCTTCTGCTATTATGCATGGCCGAATAGCTCGCTTAAGTGAGTTTACGCTAACATGCATGGGATCATTTCTTGCCGAGGACAGCATGCAAGCTTGAGACCCGTACTAACATTGAAGATATCATTCTACTAAGCAAGTGCAAACCTTCGATAGTCAAATGAGCTTGCTACTATCAAAAATTCGCGGTCCATCACACCATGAAAGTATGCGTCACCGATGAGGCTATACCAATCTGTTCCCTGAACCGACCGCAAGACGAGACAGAAGTGGCTTCCAAACAACACCTCAATTATATCACAGGGTTCATGGAGAGTGGCCCCATGCCCATGCCTCCACTTTCGGTAGGAAAAAATCGATGATTAGAGCTTGCGCTTCTCATTGACTTCGAAAAAGGAGCTGTGTATTGTATAAATCTGTCAATACGGCTCCCTTCAAATATGAAGCCATCGGGAACTGGTCTCCGTTCGAATAGAGCTCGCATTATGTTGACAAACTGGGCTGGGGCAGGGTATGAGGGATCTTCCCCGGGTGTAGCTGAGTCATGATCCATGACAAGAATCCTGCACAGTTGAGTCTTGTCCGTTTCCGAGAAGGGGCGACAGGAATCACATATCTCAGTAAATATTCACCCAGCCAGGTAATGAATCTCTGAGAACGATAATGTATCACATCCATCATTGAAACCTGAACCTTCTTGTCTTCAAGCGACTGCTAATTTACGAGGGGCGCATCAATCCATACCCTCGAAGGCTTGCTTTTGAACGTAGCACGGCTTCAAGGTTCTCTGTGACTAAGTGAGGACAATTGTCGAGACTGATGCTGGGGCGGTTATTTGTACTACCCCAACAACAAGACGGAGCTTCATAAGGATCTGATTCATCCCAATGGGGCGTGATATGGTTTACAACAAATCAGGGCGCTCCATACCCCAGGCGCAAGCCTTAGTGGACGGATGCTGTTGGATTGGAGCGACTTGTACATGTAATCCATGGTGTTTCTGGTACATGAGGGATGACTTTTGGGGTCACTCTTTCATTGGCCCCCTCTTATGTGATTTTATTGGCAAATCTTGGTATCCGTGCCCCACGTTTACCGCTGGCCTCGCCGTAGGTATTCCCCGTTAATCGTGATAAGTCATATGCTATTGCAACCCACGACATAAAATTACAACACAAACCGACCTACAGCAATGGCGGAGGGCTTTTGACTGCAATCTAGTCACACTCATCTGGAGCTCGCAATCCACACCAGTTGGGCCCAACTATACTACGAGAGTCCGCCTTTGGGCAAGATTCCTCGGTTGCCTCCTGTCCAGCCTAGCCTAAGGAAGGAAACAAGACGCGAGGAGCTTGATTCTTAGTGATAAAAGACTCAGACAACTACGTATAAATTTAGCATAGGTTTAGGATAGCTTTTGCCCAGTTTATTTTAATATTCTGTATCAAGGCCCAGCGGGGCTAGTGGCGTAACGGTCAGGTTGTAGCAATGGAAAAAGTTTCGGCAATGACTCCGAGATCAGCATGGCGACCTTCAAGATGCGTCTTAGCGCAAGCCTTCTGGTCCGGGGAAGCGGGGCATTAGAGTGCCGAGTGGTCTCCGTAATGGAGTATCCTTGACTACATCTTTAGCGATAGATATCCAATTCACGTGTATAAATACGTAATTAGCCAAGTCTGAACTCGATGTATTCGGTTTTCTGTATCTCTTCCCTCCTCGCATCTATTGTTTACTGCTTTACCTACACTTTGTCTTGTTTGCCGTGTCGCATTGCCCAACTGTAACCATGAGACTCAGCACGGCTGTCAAGTCGGCATGCTTCTTGCTTCTTGGCCACAGTACCTTTGCTGAAGGTGCAAAAGCCCCACAAGGGTTTCTTCAGACGTGGCCTATTCCCGATGGCGTCCCTATCGCGACCTCTTACGATGTCAAAGGTCGTGTCCCAGGCGGCAAGTGGGAAAAAATCGAGACATTTCAGCCTGTTCTCAACGAGGTCAACTTCACCACCGGGGGTTCCATTAAGCATAACTCGTCTCTGGCCTATTTTGATTTCAACGGTACTGTAGAGATCCAAGCCAAATATCTCAAAGATCGAGTTTCCAAGGCTGTCATCAGGCCTTACTCTCTCAACTTGACCCCAAAGAAGTCTGGCTCTGTTATCACTTTCACCTTGAATGAGCCGCGAGATATCCTTGTTCAAGTCAACGATGATATTTTTGATGTTCTGCACATCTTTACCAACCCCCCTGATACAAATGTTTCATCGGAGGATGATAAAGATGTCCTGTATTACGGTCCTGGCTATCATAAGCTCAATTCTACGCTGGAAGTTGGATCTGGCAAAACTCTATATGTTGCCGGTGGAGCAGTGGTTTCAGCCCCCGATATCACAGTAACCAACTCGAGCGATGTTACCATACGTGGACGAGGTCTTTTGTACAGTCCAAAGGGAAATGGACTACAGGTCTACCGATCCAACAATGTCTTGATCGAGCGTTTAGTTGGCATCAACTTCCTCCCTAGAGCTTACGAGTCAAAAGACGTGATATTCAGTCATTGGCGCGATTTCAGCGCTGTACAATGGGGAGATGGAATGGATGTCTATTGCTGCGAGAACGTTCTTATCGATTCCGTCTTCTTGCGAAATTCAGACGACTGTATCGCTGTCTACGCTCACCGAGATGAATGGTACGGAAACTCCACCAACATCACTATCCAAAACTCGATTCTATGGGCGGATGTTGCGCATCCTATTAATATTGGAACCCATGGCAATACTCAAGACCCCGAAACCATCGCAGGCCTGACTATTAGCAACATCGACATCCTTGACCAAAGAGAGGGACAGGTTGACTACCAAGGAACCATCGCACTCAATCCTGGAGACGGTAATCTAATTCAAGATGTCTTGATTGACGACGTGCGCGTCGAGGATATTCGTGTTGGCCAACTGCTCAATTTCCGTGTTATGTATAACACCAAGTACAACACGTCACCGGGCCGAGGGATCAAGGATGTGTTGGTGCGTGATCTCAAGTACACCGGAACAAAGGCCAGCATATCCATCTTTGTCGGTTATGATGAGGACAGGACTATCAGCAACGTTACATTCGAAAACCTGGTTATCAATGGGAAGCTCATCTCGGATAATATGCAGAAGCCGGGCTGGTACTTGACTACGGACTTTATTCCGGCATATGCAAACGAGCATGTGCACAACATGACTTTCACGTCCGCTTGAGAACTTGCATTCTTGGCGATTAGCTTTGCATTTCAGATGCTATAGTATTTTCTTTTCTCTGAACGTTTTCATACAATGCTACTTCTTCTTATCAGAGTCCCTCTGGTCAATAAGTAGTAATATATTATATGTAGTAACTTGTAAAAGCCCCATAGTACATGCTGGATGTTGTCATGAGTTGTAAACTGACCACAAGCCCCAGTTACCAAAGGCATTACATGATCCCGCACGACAAAAGCGAGGGGTTTGAGGATAAGACCTGATATGTGGACTCAGAGTACAAGTAGGCATTGTGATCAAGGAAGCTATAGAGCTTAAAGAACTAAGGTAAAAATACCATTTGGTTTACAATCCTTGGTCCCTCATATATCTCCACCTCCACAACATCACCGTCTTTGAGAAAGCTCTGCCTGAAATACCCTACCCCAGATGGCGTGCCTGTCATGATGACTGTTCCACGCCGAATAGTTGTACCACGGCTCAAATGAGCAATAAGCTCCCGAACAGACCAGATCATGTCTGCCGTGTCTGTTTCTTGCACCGTCTCCCCGCTCACTATCGTCTTGAGATGTAGGGCCTGGGGGTCAGGAACTATGTCTGGACTGTAGATAACTGGGCCGATAGGTGCAAATCCATCAAAGGACTTGGCATAGCAGAACTGCCCTCCTGAAGCATCGGGGACTTGGAAATTCCTTGCTGAGATATCGTTGCCTGCTGTATAGCCAAGGACGTATTCAAGAGCATCATCAGCAGACACGTTCTTGGCATCGCGACCGATGATAACGCACAGCTCTCCCTCATAATCCATATGAGACTGACAGTCTTTGTGCACGTGCACATCATCAAATGGTCCAGCCAAAGCATCGGAGGGTTTGGTGAAAAGAACCGGATATTTTGGAACCGTCAACTATGGATGCGGGAGTAAGCTTGGGGGCAATAAATAGGTAGCACAAAATGATAGCAGACTAAAAGTGATCTCATACATAGCCAGCGCCGGTACAATAGAACTCACATTTGCCTCTTTTGCGTGCTTCTGGTAATTCAGCCCGACACAAAGTATGATGGGCGTAGACTCGAGAGGGCAAAGAAGCTGGCGAAGATGGTTAGTCTCACATATCTGCAAGCTCGTTGCTCTGATCACATACCTTCGAGACTGTAACAACTTGTTTTGTCGGTTGAAACCCTTTTTCCAAATTGCCGGTCAGTTTTTCAACCTCGTAGCCACCTTGGCTGGTGTTGATGAGGTTTCCATAATGACTGGAACCGTCTTCTTCAAAGCGAACAAGTTTTTGAAATCCCATTTCGGCGGTGTGCATAAGTGAGATACAGATAAAAAAATATTTTTAGTAATAAGATACTTTAAATAAGTATCGGCGTCTTCGGCAGTTATGATACTAAAGTTATAAACTTTATTACTATGCGCCCGTTGCGCCGCATGTTAGCGGACCACGGTCTTCAACGGTTTTGCCGGCCGAACCCGCCCCATCCGAAGTATTGATGGTAGTAGACTCAACTTTCTTCTTACCGACTTCTCAATCGATAAAATGCCCAAACATTTCTGGATCTCAAAATCAAGAGTCCTCATTCTGAATTCCAATATCGATTTCCAATATCGATTTCCAACTCAATCATATTTTCACATTCATAAAATGACTCCAGCTGACAAGATCAAAGTCGTGCGTCTTGTTGCCGTGCACTACCAGCACCCGGACCTCGAGTCGGCTTGTTCATTCCTCCGCGATTTCGGACTGTCCGAGGTTCTCCGAGAGGACAAGCGCATCTATTTTGGCGGCTACGGTCGTGACCCATACCTGTACATTGCCGAACAGTCCCCCACCGCACGTCGCGCATTTCTTGGGGGAACGTGGGCAGTTGATTCACTAGACGATCTCACCAAAGCAGCCTCCAAACCAGGTGCTTCAGCAAGTCTGGACGCTGAGGGGCCTGGTGGGGGAAAGAAAGTCACTCTCACTGATCCCAACGGATTTCCCATTACGTTCATCTACGGCCAAGCTTTGAAGGAGCCTCAAGACCATCCAGCAACGCGAGCTTTGGATAAGGGGTCGCCAGTGATAAACCATGCTCTGGAAAAGCCAAGACAAGGTCGTTTCCTGCGATTCAATAAAGGGCCCAGTCCAGTTCACAAGATAGGCCATTACGGCTATATTGTGCCTAAGGAAGATTTCATCAAGACTCGTGAATGGTACCAAAGCCTGTTCAACCTGGTGACATCCGATTCTGTTTTCAACCCCGAGACCGGTGAGGATTCAACTAGCTTTATGCACATTGATCTCGGTGAAGACTTTACCGATCACCATGCAAGTATCTCACCCTCAGTTTTGTTTATACCGGCTAACGAGTATCCAGAGCCTGTTCTTGGGTGCAAATCCAACCAATGGCAAGGCATTTGTCCATCACTCGAGCTTTGAGATAAATGACTTTGACTCGCAAGCCCTCGGTCATAATTGGCTCACAGAAAAAGGCTACACTAACTGCTGGGGCATTGGCAGACATGTCTTAGGCAGTCAGATTTTCGATTATTGGTAAGTAATAATACTTCTCGTTACCTGCTTCGAGTTCAAGGCATTTAACATGAGCAGGTTTGATACCTCGGGCAATATCCTGGAGCATTATTCTGATGGTGATCTTGTTAATAAATATGTACCTTCTACCAGAAGCCCTGAAGCTCCTGATTCGCTCCATATTTGGGGGCCTAATGTTCCTCTCAGCTTTATTACAGGACAGCCAGATAAATAAGTTATTTATATAAAGAGCTTTGTTGATTGATAGTTAAAACTTATAACATCTCAGCGAGACCTATTGGGCTGTATAATTCTTAAGTAAATAGCTTTAGAGGTTTCAAGTTTATGTGTTTTAAATAATCAGAAAAAGAACAGACTTTAGTCTTTTTTCCCCTTTTATTAAAATGAATATAAGTAATAAGAATAGATATAAGATAATATATTACAGTTTAAATTAACTTTAGCTATAAGAACTTATACTTTTAAAATATAAGCATAAGAGCTTTGATTATTATATTTAAGAATACAGTACTAATCTAATAGAGATATATTTCTTAATAACTTTATACTTTATATTTTACATGAAGGGTTTTGAAAGAAAATATTATATGTAATAACCTTTTACTAAATGCTAAAGGCGTCTGCTAAAAGTGCTCAAAGTAGAACTTATTCTAGGTAATGAGAGTAGAACGGAAGACTACTTAGACTTGGACTGGCATGCGCTGACCCATTTGGAGTTAGTGGTTACGAAACAGGCTGAAAGGATCACAGGACTCATACCCGGAATTCCAAACTGATGTCAGCCACCAAACCACGGCCGGTAAAAGTCGGCAAACCGGACTCCCGTCTCCGCAGTCCTGTTTGGTAGATCACGGTCAGCTTACTCATATATCTACTTATCTCAGGATTCGTTAGAACGGGACAAACCAGTAAGACACTGAAATACTTGGGCTGAGATTATTACTTATCTACTATCACCAAGTGCTTACATATACAAAATGAAGGTTGTTATTGTCGGAGCTGGTATCGGCGGATTGGCGCTCGCTTATGCCTGTCGACGAGAGAATCTCGAGGTGATAGTCCTCGAGCGTGCGCCTGTCTTGGAGCCGGTAAGTGACCCCATCGTCAAGCGAGAGAACGTCACACGCGCCTGATGCCTTGTTACTGAAACACAATAGCTTGGAGCAGGAATCCAGGTTCCACCGAACGCCGCACGAGTGGCTCGTCAGTTGGGAGTCCTTCCTGCTTTGGAAGAAAAAGGTATCATCCTGGATTCCATTGAGTATGTGAGTTATGCCGATGGAAAAGTCCTCTACAAAATGGACAAGAATTACGTTTGGGACACGTTTAGGGACACTTGGCTGTAAGTATGATAACTCAAGTTCCTCCACAGCGCAGATGCTAAAGATTGCCATTCAGTGTCATTGCTAGGGCAGACCTTCATCAAGCCTTCTGGGACGCTGCAAAGCAGGCCGGTGCAGAGCTGCGGCTCGGCTCGGAAATGACCGGTATTGACTTCCAGAATTCATGCGTCCATTTGGTTGGCGGCGAGCAAGTGACGGGCGATGTCATTGTTGGTGCAGACGGTACAATCGGGATTCTTTCTCCTTACCTCTTTGCACGGCTAACAGTGGCAGGTCTTTATTCTCGGGCTCGCGACCTAATATTGGGCAGAGAGTCTCCAGCCACCGAAACGGGAGACTTGGCATATCGATGCACTGTTCCAGTGGAAATGCTCAAAGGCCTCAACGACCAGGCCCTAAGTAGCCTCCTCGAGAAGAAGACTGCGACGTGTTGGATGGGCCCAGATAGACACTGCGTTTTTTATCCTCTGAAAGGCGGCAAAGAGTACAACCTGATCATGCTCCGTCCCGATAACCTTCCTAAAGACGTGCGACGGGCACCCGGAGATTTGAACGAGATGAGAAGTAGCTTTGAAGGCTGGGACCCTCGGTATATTTTGATACTACATTGCTGATGATGCTCTCTAACACGGTCAAAGGTTGACAAAACTGATTTCTTGCGTTCCATCGGTGCTGAAGTGGAAGCTATCCCACCACAAGGAGCTTGAGAGCTGGACACGCGTAAGTTAAGACGACTATTTTGTAACAGGATGTTTTATAAAAAAACTCTAACCAATGTTCCTTTAGGGGTCCGTAGTACTTCTGGGAGATGCCTGTCATCCAACTTTACCATATCAAGCACAGGGTGCTGCCATGGCAGTTGAAGATGGAGCTGTGCTTGGCAAGCTTCTCGGCTTGCTCAACCAGTCCGAGGTATACAAATCTCAGGCACCGCGCCGCTTGTCAGATGTGCTGAAACTCTACGAGAGTTTGCGAAAGGCTCGGACGTCGAACAATGTGCAAGGGGCAATTTCAAATCGATATACGTATCATTTACTAGACGGGCCTGAACAAGAGGCAAGAGACGCTTGGCTTACTTCTTCGAGAACTACTCCCCCTCCTGAGGGACAAACACTTGGGGATCATGAATATCTTAGGACGATGTTAGCTTTTGATTGTATTGCAGATAGCATCGATGCTTTTAAGAAGTGGGAAAGGGGACTTACTGGGTTAGCGATGAAGTTATAGTTAGCTTCCGCCACAATTCCGTGTACTGAATCAATTTTTCTATTTTCAAATCAAGTTTACAGCCCTTGTTTCCGAAATTATGAAGCACATCGTGTTGATTATACACCAAGATTTGAAGATCAATCTGAGTCTTACGTAAAAGTTACATACTTGATCATAATTTAACTTAGAACAAAACCACCTGAGAGAATCTCTCTGCAAGTTAGGATTATTGCAAAATCACACTAGCATTGTCGATGCGACTCAACTTCTCCATGTCAGATGGTAGGTTCAGTTATGATGTAATTTCGTGACGTCACCCTATAGTGGAGACGGCAAAACCGTGCTCTGCCGCCCTGTCTTTCCCGTTCAGCATTGGCCATAGTTCCAGACAACTAGCTTGCTTTCGGCGAAGTAATTCTAATAGTGATGCTAGGCTTTATATGGTTAACTGGTACCAGTACATCAGAATGGACGGGCAAGCGGACTGCCGAAGATAACGGGTTAGGCTCCCCATTTTGTAGAACTCGTAGAGTAAAACGATACCAAAAAGCACTAGCCATAACACTGTGGAATCACCATAGTTGTCAGAAAGGACTCTATTGTTTTTTTATTTTTTTTCATTTGTGAAATTTAGGACGTACAATTCTAGGTATGCTCGTATTCAATATCAGCCATGACAACATATGGCTCCTCGCATCACAACATCACTGTATGCTCACTAACTTGAAAATCTTGTAGACAACCATAAACCCTGGAGACCATGTTCAGAAGTCCAACCAGCTCACTATCGGATCATATTGTATTCAGACCTTACAAGCATGGCCATCGTGCTCCTCGTGCATGTTTGCGCTGTAGAGCACGCAAGGTCAGATGCGACGTGGCCCGCCGGGGGTGGCCATGCAGCAATTGTACGTGGCATCAATGCGAGTGCGAGGTCCGAAGCCGAAAGAGTAAGCATGCTGGTGGAAACCTCTGGTAAGACATCCTTTCTTCATTACACCTTTATCGCCTCCGCGGTACATACTGTAGCTTATACTTACATTTATTTCGTCACGCTAGCAACCCCACAGAACTCGTCAAAAGTTTCAATCGCAATATGACAAATGCCGTTTTGGATACTCACGATCGAGCTGTAAAAACGGGCAGTGGCCTTTTTGGCTTCACGCTGAACGAGCACCGAGACAACGTTTCTAGGCTGGAGCCATTCCCTGACAAGTGTTGTAATCGAGAATTGACATGTATTTGTAAGTGGATAGTTAACCACTTGAAAATCGGTTCCTAATCATATCAGGCCAGGAAACGAAGTCATTCTCTGCAGCAAGTTGCTTTGATTCATCTATCTCAAGCTTTCCACCCGGACAGCGATATCATGTACATGATGCATCCGAAGAAAGCGACCAGTTACTCCCTATTATTGAACTGGAACCATTTCTGATTCCACTTCCCCCATGCATACGTATAGACGACATTGCCTATCTCAAATCAAGAGGTGCCCTGTCAATACCACCTGCAGAAAGCAGGAATGCTCTACTCCGCTCATATTTCACTTACGTTCACCCTTTTATGCCTGTCATTGACATGGATGAGTTCCTTGGAGCTATAGAGTATGATGTAAAGAAACAAAGGATCAGCTTCCTCTTATTCCAAGCTGTGATGTTTGCAGGGGCCGCATGCACCCCGATGTGCTACCTAGAAAAGCTGGGGTTTAGCTCTCGTAAAGAAGCACGAGAAGAGCTTTTCACTCGAGTTCGGGTAAGCTTCAGACCTGACACGGTTCCGAATAGATGATAACACATTTTCAGTTGTTATATGATGTGGATTACGAGACCGATCGACTTGCACTGGTCCAATCTCTCCTGCTCATGACTCTATGGTACAAGTCACCAGAAGAGCATCGAAATACCTGGCACTGGCTCGACGTCGCTATCTCTCAAGCTTTTGCTATAGGTCTTCATTTAAATCCAGACGAAACAACATTTTCGCACACAGAGTGCATTTTGCGCCGAAAGGTATGGTGGTCATGTTATGTTACAGATAGACTTATATCTCTCAACATGAAACGTCCTCCAAGGATCGGAGACGATGACTTTCACGTCACAATGGTACTTGAAACCGACTTTCAACCCAATCTACCATCAGAACACTGTCAAGTTCGGTTGAACGATATGTGTCCTTACGTCTCAGACACAAAGTTACGTTCAACACTGGGCGGACTATTCGTCGAACTTGCGTGTCTCTGTCAACTCATGGAACCCATTCTTCGACTACATCGGTATATACAGCTCTCCGAGAGCAGCGCATTGCTATCCCGTAATTCTGAGACAACCGAATTCAACAGAATTCGACTAATCAGCATCCAAAAAATATCGGCCTTAAAGAAAAGGCTGAAAGAATGGATTGATTCACCGCAGAGGACCTGCAACTACGAAGCCCCATCAAGTTCTGAGTTTCCTTCTGTCACTTACTTACAACAAACCGTTCTTCGTTTGATCTTGCAAGACTTGATGTTAAAAATCTACAGGTTAACAATAATACTATCTGAGCAGCATGATGAGTACGCAGAAGCTGAAGAGGCCAAGAGTGGCATACTCGATTCCGCAAGACAGATCTCTCATTTGGCTAGCGAAGTCGTCCACAAGGGACTTTGCAGCTTTCTCCCAGCATTTACATTGGGAGGTATAGTGCATGGAACAGCAATATTCTTACAAAACATTATGGGTCCTGGAGAAGCACGAAAGACAGACTCGGAAGAGCGGTTCATGCAATGCCTTGAGGCCATCGCTATAATGGAAGATATATACGAACCCGCTAGAATGGCAAGGCAAGCTATCTCTTGGGCTCTAGTGGGACCTTGGGATGCCAGTAAACTCTCCAGTATAGAGATGAATCAAGCTGAAGTTATGCTTGCTCATCAGTCACAAACGCCCTACTCAGAGGGTGAGCCTATAAGTCCAGACAGCCTTACCAGCCATGACACGGAAACGAACACTCCTTCAGTAGCGACAAGTCTATGGTCTTCATATCTCGACCATACCGGAGAGTTGGGCACTGTGTTGGAGGCGTGGGGCTTTGTAGCCAAGGAGGAAGCGATGATAGAACATCAAAACGCAGAGATAAACGAGTTCAGTGCGATATCGATGGAAGGGCTAGGTGTCTTGAATGACCTTTCTTTATCAATGGAGTTTAGAAATCTCTCCTATGACACATGTATCACATAGAGGCTTCTTCAGTCTAAATTACCTTTATTTCATTGTGTTGTAGTCGAGGCTCATGCATAGTATGCTACGATTCTTTCATCCTGGGTATAGTGAACACTGCAAATTCATTCTTGAGCTGATATGGACTAAGGTCTGTACCTGAGACAGTACCAGAATTTGCCGACGATGTTTCCAATCTTGTAGCATTTACGTAAAGCCCGGTGCGCTGGTCTGAGTGCTTAGTCACCAAGTGTAATTACTATTGATTCAATAAAGACGTGCTAACGACTGGGAAATTGTTAGACAGGTTTATAGTAGTCTTTATAAATTTCACGCATCATCGATGTCAAAGATAATCATATGGAAATTTTCGTTCTTTTATTATTCAGGGTCATTCTTACGGAAGAAGCCTGAAAGATGGATGAGAACTACCAAGCTTGGCTTGCTCGTCCTCACTGAGCCCAGTCAACCTGTGATCCCTACGGCCTGCTTCTCTGGCCTTGTTCTCCCATACGCAGTACAAAGTTCCGAAAGCCGTTACAATTACCGCAGCAATCTGTCCACCCACGTTGATTGAGTGTCCAGTGTGATACTCTGGCCCATCTCGGGCTAGGTAGGTCCATCTAAGCTCATGATTAGATCCAGCAGACATGACGGAGGCAGTATACTTACGTTGCGATCAACCCACCAAGAGTTCCGATAGTAACGATATAAGCACTGGTGACGGCTCGTACTGAAGAAGGGGCCGCGTTATTGATAGCCCAGGTCAAATACGATGGCCCAGAAGCCCCGGCACCGCTAATGAGGAGGAATACACCAAAATACTTGACTGCGGCCTTTGTTTCCCACCGCAAAATGATGGCCCCGGTGGCTGAGATTGTTGTCAGTAAAATGATAAATGGCCCGCGCTTTTTGGTCTTGTCACTAAAAAACGCTACCAAGAAGCAGGTGACGAATGCAAGAAAGTTCGGAGGGACTGTCATCAGCTGTGCCTTTGTAGCGGTCCATCCAAGGTCTCGCAGGATAGTTGGTAGAAAGACACCAAGTCCCTGAACCGCAATATTGATCAAGAGGAATCCCAAGCCACAAGTTATATTTATCACTGATGACAAGGCTTGCTTAACATCTCGCCGGGTGACCTTGACCTGTTCTGATTCTTTATGATCTCTCAATAAACGCAAGATGGCGATCTGGCGTTCTTTCTGGTTCAGAAAGGGTGCTGTCTCAAGAGAGTTTGGCATGGAAACGATTGCCAGCAGGCCAATAATCATCGTAAGAAGTCCCTCGAAGAAGAATATGTTTCTCCAGGTGTGAATCTTCATGGAAGATACACCCCAAGGATCAATTCGAGACAGGGCTGTGGCGAGAAGTCCACCAAAGGCCCCTGCAAGACCTGTAGCTGAGACGAATAGACAAATCCGTAGCATGAGCTCATTTCTCTTATAGAAACAGCTGAGCAGGAAGGCTATACCGGGCATAGTACCGCCCTCAAAGGCGCCGAGTAAGACCCTGAGGGCAAGTAGCGATGCAAAAGAGCGTACAAACGCCGTGCAAAGAGAAACCAGCCCAAACCCTGTAACGAGGAGGGGTATGTAAAACTTGGGGCCGACCTTCTTCAAGATGATGTTGCTAGGTATTTCGACAAGGATGTATGCTATGTAGAACGCGGATAGAGCCCAGTTGAACCTGTAACCAATAAGTTCGAGGTCTAGAGCCATACCCTCGATGCGGGCGTTTCCGATGTTTGCTCGATCCAAGAACTATCGAGAGTCATAGGTATCAGCATCAAAGAGCTTGGTGAAACAGCAACGAAGGCGGATGAGTAGACACACTTACACACAGAAGGTACAGGAGAATTGACAGTGGGACGATGCGAATATCGATCTTGCGGCGAACAGCAGCTTCTTCGGCTTCTGACCATTCCACGACGTCGATGTTCTGGGGATTTTCGTTGCCTGAATGTGAAACATGCATGGCAATTGGCTCGCCCTTGGCCATATCAGAGATACCTGGTAAGTTGAGTTAGTCATACCGACAAGGAGGTTTACACAAGTAGGAACTTAAGAACGGACCAGTTTCTGTGCTTGGAGGCATATTCTTGAGGACTGGGCGTTGGCGGAGGTTCAGGTTGATTGTTAAAGATGTTTAATATAAATACTGAGCTTTACTTGGAAGTTGCAGAGCGTGGCCACCAAGATGAGATACTTGGAAGATGGCACGAGACGGTGCTTTTAACTTGTATCAGAGCACACAGTAATCCCTTTGACCATATTAGACTATCTACGTTCAGCCCATCGTTTCTGCTGTGATATCTGAGAATGTGACCAATTGCTAAGCCGCTAATTGTTGTTGGCGTACCGATGGCTGAATCTGCCAACGCTAAGTTTATTAAAACGCGGGGTAGTAAGCGGGAGGAAGCAAACTCGATCTATGAAAAGCCAAAGCGAAGGTTTTGTCAGGACGGTTTTACCGACCTTTGCCGTGTCAAGGGTGGGCCTGGGTCTCGATGTAACATAGCCTGACCAGCCAGCAGTGCAGCTAGCCTAAGCAAGTCAGGTTTGGAGGGTTATTTATTACGCCGGCACCCATTCCTGAAAAAAAGCACGGAGATCCGTGTTCATCCGTGACGTGGCTGGGTGTTGGTATTCCGTAAATTGTATCCGCATTGCCAAGAGCCAGGAATTCCGAAAGAAGAGCCCATTACTGCAACGGCATATCTCGGCGTCCTTGGTGATTCCGTGCCCGAATCCCGCATGGTTGGAAAACATAATTCGCCAACTAAAGTCTCTGCCTGCGTATACTGAGCAGCTGGGTTTAGGCTTCGGAGGACGAGTCCATGTGACATAAACCAACTGATCAGCTTACTCTCAACAAGGCGGACGACTTACATCATTCTGCTATTCACGAAATTTAGCACTTCAACCACAATGGCACAAGACCTATCTGCTGCAAAGCCGTACAGCTGGCATCACCCTCACCCTGAATTATCGCGCCTGGATACCTTTCGGAGACACATCAATCGAGCATACAAACTCGATCTCAAGACATACGCGCAGCTCCATAAATGGTCTGTAGATAATATCGAAGACTTCTGCAAAGAAACATGGATGTTTTGTGGTATTATCTACAGCCAACCGCCCGATAAAGTTGCAAATGGCATCTCTGTCATGTGGCCTCGCCCAGAATGGTTCCCCGGCGCACGACTCAATTATACAGAGAACCTGCTGTCTGTAGGGCTGGCACAGCACCCTGATTCAATTGCCATATCAGCTTGCCTCGAGGCTGGGGTCAATTGGCGGCACTTGAGCTGGGTACAGCTTCGGCGTCAAGTTGAACACTACGTCAGTGCCCTCGAAGCACTTGGTGTGACGACTGGCGACCGTGTTGCAGGTTAGTCGGCATCATGGACTGCTGAGACGTAACCGCTGATAATCGATTTCTTAGCCGTCTTGACCAACTCGCTCGAGGCAGTAGTTTTGCTTCTTGCTGCTGGGGCCATCGGAGCCATTTTCTCCTCTACTGCTCCCGATATGGGTGCTGAAGGTATTGTTAACAGGTATTCCCAAGTCCGACCTAAAGTTCTTTTCGTCGACACCGAGGTTGTATATGCGGGCAGGCGACGTGTCCTCAAGAACAGGATGATGGCCGCGGCAAGTAAATTAAAGCAGCAGGTTCCAGAGCTCAGCCAAGTCGTCGTGGTCAGTGGTCCAGCTTGGACCAATGGATCATGGTGAGTCTTATATGCCGTCGAATACAAAAATGAATGATTAGCTGACACAAAGATATTGCTCTACGATAGCATGCGCATGGAGGAATTCCTCAACGTACCAATCCGACCGTTACGATTCCAGCAATTGCCTTTTGATCACCCCATCTATATCCTTTATTCGTATGTTCAGAGCTCCATCACATTCTCAACATAGCCTGCTGACACCTACAAGCTCTGGTACAACCGGAGTACCAAAATGTACCGTCTAAATATTTTCTATCAAAGTCGCATTCTAACATCTGTTCTAGGCATTTGCCACTCGGCGGGTGGAGCCCTCTTACTACAGAAGAAGGAGTTCATCCTTGCCAGTAACATGTCCTCTGACTCTGTCTATTATCAGTACACTACCGTGAGTGTTGCCCAAGACTAAAACAGGGTCGAAAATTAATGTGATGCGATATGCAGACTGGCTGGATGATGTGGAATTATCTAGTCGGAGCCCTTAGCGTTGGTGCTAGAATCGTTCTTTACGACGGGAGTCCGCTGTACACGAGTCCAGTTGACCAGATACGCCAACTGGAACAACAAGGGTGAGCTTATTAGAGCAACATGATAGGCACTTCTGACCAAAGACATAGGGTGACTCACTGGGGCACAAGCCCGAAGCTGCTAGCAGCATTAAAGCAGTCGGCTCACAAACAGCGCTTCCTCTTGGACAGTCTCCAGGTAGTCATCTCTTCTGGGTCACCGCTATCGCCTGAGATCTTCAGATGGTTCTATGATACTTTCCCTGGCCATGTCGGCCTTTTCAGCGGCTCTGGAGGTACAGATCTTGTCGGCAGCTGTGAGTCCTCCACATGATTTCTAACAATCATCTCTGTTTAACCATATGGGTAGTTCTGACCGGTACCTTTCTTTCCACTATACATCAAGGGGAGCTCGCGGCCCCACAGCTAGGTATGCGAATTGAGATCTGGGACCAGGATGGTAAAAGCATTGACGACACTGGTGATGCCGGAGAGCTCATAATCTCAACACCCTTTTTCAGCATGCCAACCACATTCTGGGGCGAAGATGGGGACTCAAAGTACTATAAAGCCTACTTTGAAAGATTTCCCGGCGTTTGGTGTCACGGAGACTTTGTGAAGAGGAACCCAGCCACTGGAGGCTATGTCATCCTAGGACGTAGCGATGGAGTTCTTAACCCTGGAGGTACGTCCATCTCGACACCATAAACCATGCCCTTCACTGACTGTCATAAGGTGTCCGGTTCGGAACCGCCGAGCTTTATAGTGTAGTCGACAAGTTCCCT